GCAAGTGCTTACCTTACTAAGCTAGAAGTGGTATAGATCTTCTCTGCCTGAACAAACGAGTGTCTTGGACATTTGTGTGGCAACAGAATTCTGATAGGAATTGCAGAGGATGGGAAATTCCACAGAAACTTTTAATATGCCCTGATCTATCTACCTGTGTCCTATTAGAACTCAGGACTGACAGTGTGACAGAAACAAGGAGGCTTATTCACTATCCTTAGTTCCTACTCGCTTATGGGGTGGCTTTTTGTGTTTTTTCCTCTTATGCTTTTTTTAGTTCATTAACATGAGAAAGGTGAATCATAGTGTTTTGCTTTTGAAAGTAGATGGGAGAACAGAGCTGAGTTAAAGGATAGATTGTGTAGATGTTCCTGTTTAAATTCTGGGAGCATGTGGGGACTTCTCTGAGATGCTTATCACTTTAAGGTCATCTCAAGGCCTTGATATATGGGTCAAGATCTAAAGTAAATGGTAGTTCAGGACACTAGTGAAACTTTGGGGTTCAATTTGCAGTTTGTCGGCATTTCTAAATTTAGACTTCACTTTTCCTGCCTCAAAATTTACTGTGTGGATTTGTTGATGCTGTAAGCCACACTGAAGATGCAGGTTGCTCATATGAGAACTAATTTTACTATTAGTTTCCGTGACCTAATTGTCCACAGAGCTGATTCAAGATACAAAGAGGCAGTGAACAGAAATTTTTCTGCCTTGAAGAAAATGACAGCATCGCTTCTGCTATGAAAAGGAAAGACAGAAAAGTAGCAGAATTGAGGTGGAAGGCAGAGGAGAGGGGAGTGACAACAGCAGGGGCAGTTGTGGCTGAAACAGCTGGGGCAGAAACAAGCTCATCACAAGTAACAACCATACACCTTTAACTCTTTGCATGGCAGCAAGTCTGGATTTCCAAGATCATCATAGCCAAAGCAAAGCCTGATCATTGTTTTGTATGTAGCAGGATATGACATTAGGCAGTGCCTGCTCTATCTGTGTCAAGAACTAAGTGTGGTCACCAGAGTTTGTATTTAGGGGTATGTGATGCTGCTTATTATAAGGCAGTGCTGAAGTTCTTTGTGATTTCATTAGGTTTGCCAAAAATTGTGGTTTAGATTGAAACTGTTTAGCTGGATTGTGGTGGATAATTGCCTCAGGAGGAGATGAGCAGGGCTGGGCAGGGGAACAGCAGTGGAGCTGGGAGCCAGGGTGGGAAGGAGTTGCATAGAAAGCCTTTGTTTCTGGCATTTTCTAACTCATGACTAGAGTGTACAAATTTAACATCCTTTAATGGGTTGTAGCACAACTATCTGTTACGTACCAGAACTTCCTATCACATGATAATAAATTCATAGGATGTTCTGCAAAAAAAAATTATAAAAGCGGGTACAGGTTTGCTGATGGAAAGTTTGCTGGAGTTTGCTTTCTTTCTTAATTGGCTTGCTCTCTCCTTTTGTAACAAACTTGTTCTTAAACCTGCAATTGTTTTTCAAACTCACAGTGTGTTAAAAATATTTGAGATTTGCAAATGCCTGATTAAAAATGTGGCACTGCCTTCATGTTGGGGCACAGCCCCCATCAGTTGCATCCCTGCAGCATGACAGAGGTCTGCAAAATGGCCCTTGGTTTTCCCACTCAGAACCAGAAGCCTCCTCTGATCACTGTATCCAACCTATAGGCAAACAAGCAATGCAGGAGTAACCTTAGAAACTCATAGCTTGACACTCCTGACCTGACAAGGGAAATGCTTTTTAAAGGTAGTTTGCTGCACAGTAACGTATTGTCACGGTGTTGAGTTTTGGTAATTTGGGGGGGGCAGCAGGAGCCACGCCCTGGCACCCCCTCGCCCACAGAGATGTGGTCCCCGTGGGTGGCCAGTGCCCCAGACTTTGCCGTGAGGTGCCCGACAGCCCCGGCACCCACTGTTCAGGTGATGGGCTGGCCTGTGTTACCGTGGCAACTGGCAGATGAGGGGCTTCGGCAGGGTCAGCAGGGAGGCAGCCACCGCAGTGTGCCGGCCGAGCTGCTCAACAACAGCCCTTTCAGCTCTGACAGCTCCACTCTGGCTGGCCAGGAGTAGTTATCAGATTACTTGTATTAAAACCTAATTAAGATGTGTGCCAGTAAATGCAGCATGATTATTGGATTTAGTGATTTAGCTGCTGCAGGTTGCTGCAATCCAATCACGCCATTTCAGCAAATCCAGCTCCGTGGAGTAAAGTGAAAACGTTTTACATCAGTAACGTGACTATGCTGAAAGAGTAAATAACCTTTTAATGCCTCTACTATGTCAAGGACTGACTGATCCCCTCTGCAGGGTGAATGGCCACTGCCCACAGATCCTTGCATATTAATTTCTTTCAAATCGACATTAAAACCCAGAGGAAGGCTGACAGGTTGCATCAGCTTTTTCCTTCATTGCAGATTGCCTGCGGATTAATGGACCTTAGTCCCCCAGGGCAGGGAAGAGTCTTGCAGCCAGAGTCTTGTGGGTGCCCCTGGTTTAGCAGTGTGTCATTAAAGAAAAGAAGGAAGCTTTTGTTTTATCTGTAGGCCACAGATAAGGGGATGGCTGAAGTGTAACCTGGTGGGTGCTAGTACAGCTTTGTGTTCGTTGCAATGGAAATTTATTCTGCTGGTAGAATTCTCCTTGGTGTCGAAGCTCTGCTTTGTGATCGATGTTTCACCTGGTTTTTGCAGGGTCTTGCAGTGACTGTCTAGCCATAGCTGTCCAAATATAACAAAACCCTATCTGTCCCTTTTCACTTCATGTCTTGATAGTCTTGATAGTCTTGTCTCAGATCCAAATTTTACTGCTGTGTGAAGTGAGAGATGTCTTCTGCAGGTTGGAGCTGCACAAAGCAGCAAGGTAGCTTGTAGCCATACTAATGTAAAGCTGCATATAAGCTCTGAGAATACTGAGAATCAGATTAAAACATTTACCTTAAAGCATTCATTGCAGCTTGTGATGCCCCAGTTGTGTTCTCCTTCTGTGGAACCACTTGTCTCGTGAAACTGTCTCTTTCTTGCCTCCATATAAAAGTAAGAACTTTGGTTTAAAGTGGCTAGTGGGAAATTATTTGAATTATTATTTGAATTATTATTTCTGCTAAATGGGAGCTTACTCCTTAGTGCCAGCTTGTCCTGAAGGAGTGCAAACATAACATGGTTCAAGAGCTACATGTGTTCACCTTGTCTCTTGAAGTAACATGATAGAGCGTGGAGTCGGTCCCTGTCCTTCAACACTCCCAGGCCAAGGGGGAGCAGCCTCATGCCATCCCAACTGGACAGATCTTGCCACTTTGGTGGAAAAATGATCTCTTTTAGAGCAGGGGACAAGGAAACGGTGGTTACTCATGCTCAGGACACAGTACATAGTTGCCTGGTAGGTGGTGTTGCCAAACTGAGCGTGGCGACCATGCAACCTCCCTCACTTGTATTAGCAAAATGTGCAGAAGGTTCTGTCACCCAGTTGTAAAAATGATGGCAGGCATCGATGTGCATTTGTAACATATGGGAAGTACAGTGAATGTGGGTGGAGCTGTTCATTTCTCATCTTGAATCATTTACGAGATCAGCAGGCAGGCCAGATACAATGCATATGGGAATGTGTGGCTGTGCTGCACATGTCACACGTAATAGCAGATACTGTGAGAGAGCCCAGAGCCTGTCCTCAGGAGCTAAATGCACCAGAGCAGGCTGGGAGTCCCAGTGTGTGGACCAAGGGCCAGCTTGGCAGCAATTTTGGGAGAGCAGACTGGCAGACAGAATTTGGGAATTCACAAATCCAGATCTGCACTGACTAGAAGTGCTCCCTTTTCATGCATCACGGCCCAGAATTGTAGATTGGAATGTTATTAAACCTGTACTCAAGCACTGAAGATACAGATGATAAAGTTGTGGCCTGCTAGTCAAACCCAGCTCAGTGCCTGTGTTATCTTTTTCCCTCTACTCAAGGGGACAGTTTAAATGTAACACAGTAGGTGGTGAAGTTACAAACAGAAAAGTGTAACTGAGTAGTATTGCCCTAATTAAAAACTTTCTGTTTACAGTAGTTTATCTGAATCACCCCTTGCATGATTTGAAAGGATGTACAGCTTCACAATAGAGCACACTAAGGCTTGTGTCCAGTAATACTTGTGAAATTTGCACGGGCTACCTGTGATTATCTCATAAAAAATGTTGTTTTGATGTAAAATTTACATGAGTTGGAAATTACTTCTGTCTGGGTGCCAGGAGTAATAAACAGTCACTGGAGACATAATAAGTGATACCTGCTTTTGTGATGAAAGAAGTAAATGTGTGCTTGCCCTGTCTTACAGCAGCATTGTCGCATCTTAGGCACTTACTTTTCCAGTGTAAGCAGAAGGCCTCTGCGTGTTTTTTCTGACTGCCAGCTTGTTCCTCTGTTTTGCAGCCCCTGACAAGGAGGACCTCTGGAGTAATAGGCTCTTTACATCTTTCCCCAGGAACCCCTGTTACATTATTGAAGGATCTATGCTGATGTGCTTAATTAACACTGTGTTTACTTGAAATAAACTTATTCTGTAATGAGTTTTGGACATTAACCAGCAAAGAGCAGTAGACAGAAAACAGGAGTTTTTGTCACTTCAGGTCCATTCTGTCAGGGACTCTGGATATTTGGATTTATGATCTGGCCTGCTGTGTGGGCCAGGAAGACAGTTATTGAAGCAACTACGGAGTGTGCAGCTTGCTTAGCTACAGGTGTCAAGATGCAGTCCTGCAGTCTTTACTGATGTCACAGCAAAGCAAATTTGCTGTCATGTCCTCATAAGGCTTCTAAATTAAAAAAGCAAACCTTTAAAAGTGCTTGTTTAAAGTGTGAAAATGCATTGAATGCCCATCCTAGGAGTAATACTTAGTCTCAGCTCAACCACCAGCCTGGACTCTGGCCTCTGGGAGCTGCACCCGCCAGTGCAAACATCAAAGCTTCTACTGTGAACTCCAACTTCAGGTGCTCTGCAACGCTTTTATCTATTTTTTTCCAGGTTACAGCAGCTTGACAAGCACTGTCAGGCCACTGCCCAGCAGTTAGTGGAGTTGCTCAACAAACAGAATCAGCTCTTCAAAGAGAAGCAGCTGCTTACGGAAGAGGTGCAGTTTCTGCGAACACAGGTACTGTGCCAGAAGAAAAGAAAGTCTGAGGGGAATATTCTGCAGCTTTAGCAGAGAGATCTGCCAGCAGTCTCATTTCAGCTGCTGGATTATGTTGCTGTCATTCTTTTAAATACAGCATTACCTTATTAAAAAAAAATAAAGTAAAACCTCATGCAGTTGGAAGGAGACTGGTAGCTGAACCTGAGTCTCACTTAAACCTAAACTAAATGAAGAAAATGTTTTGAAGTGACAATAAAAATGCAGAAGTTACTCTCAGTGACAGTTCCCAGACTTTTTATCTTAAGATTCTATGTTCCTTTTTAAGAGAAAAGGGAAATTTGTTCTTTACCAGCATTAATGTTTAAACAGTAACTTGATGTTGATAATGTTTTTGCATTTTTGCTGCCATTTGTCAGACTTAAGTCCCCCTATCACTTTGTAATTTTTTTCTTATTATTATTTTTAAAAGTCATTTATTTTTCCTGCTGCTCAGTGACCACTCCTGGTGAGATTTTTGGGACTGTCATATGCAGGGCCAGGAGTTGGACTTGGATGATCATAGGGGGTCCCTTCCAACTTGGGATATTTTATGATTCACTCACCTAAATGTAAGATGGTGAATGTACAGTCAGTCTTGCCTTAGCACTGATCACTGCACTGCTTCTCTGGCAGGACTGATTCTTGGTTCCAGTGGTCCCTAGGAAGTTGTGGCTACTTAGGAGCTGTTCTTGCTTTCTTTGTTTTGGCCACTGTTCTTCAGTCAGTCAGTGCTTTGGGAATAAGGGAGAGGGCTGTGGGGTTGTGTTTTGTCTTTGGCTTTCTTTTACTTTTTTTTCAGAAAAAGGAGAACTAAAAAGCACAGGCTGAGGTTTTCAGTAAACTGTCAGATAATGGAACTCCTGCTTTGTGACTGAGTAAATGCACTAATTTAACAATATCACGATACTTTCTAACTTGAAAACTAGTGATAGTGAGTTTGCCCAGGATAAACAGAGTTCTGTTACTGTGGTAACAAAGGACATTCAATGTAGGAAATTTAGTCTAATGGCACACCTAGCAGCAAACAGAACATGAATCATCTTAGAACTTTAAAATATTTAAATCATCCTATTTTTGTAGGCTTTTTACCTGTACAATTCAGTAAAGGTTTAACCTAGGAGAATAAAATCCATACTTTGTTAAGCCTCTAACCACGTTCATGTGTTTGGTTTTACAGGACTTCCTGTTGTAGTAGACAAACTTGGTGACTCATGATAGTGTAAGGTTATCAGCATGTAGCAACTACTGGCAAATTTTAGGGCAATCATAATGTTCTGTCTATAAGACAGGTTAAGAAGGTAGTTCAGAAAAGAAATTATGATTTCTGTTTTATGGAAAGCACTCTTAGTGATGTGAACAGCCTTTACATGGTCCGCCGGGATTTTGTTATTGCTAATCTATTTTTTCTGGGAGTGTACTTTTATAAAGTTGGGCAGAATTACAAAAATCATACAAAAGAGGAAAAAATCATTCAGATATTATGCTGCTATCAAGACTTGACTGGCAAAAGCTGCCTTCTTTCTGTTCATTACAAATTAATTGTGCTCCAGAGGATACTTTCTGAGAACACTCAGAAGAAGGATTAAAAAATTATTAAAAAAGAGCCCTAAAAATCTATTTGCAGCTATTTAAAGCAATGGTGTTTCTCTGGGAACTGGAATTCAGCCCAAGAGAGCTGCCCGGAACATCAGGCAATTGTTTTAAGAAAACTAAACAATAGTTCACCATAAATGGAAGCTCTTTACTACGGAAAGATGCATGTATTAGTATAGAAATAAATATTAAAATCAAACAGTTGCAGATTGAGTGTTGATCAAAGGTGAAAGTGACCTCATATTCCGTATTCTACTGTATTGTCCAACAGTTCTTTATAATAATTTTTTTTGGGGGGGAGGGCGGAAGGTAAAAGAAACCAATCATTACCTAATCTTTTAAAGATGACATAAAATACATTAACCTAACTGTACTGTTGTATCTTGGAACATAAGCCACTAGTAACTTAAGTTGTATATTTCAGGAAAAAAAATGGGATACAGATCTCAAACAGGACACAGATGGAATCAAGTAAAAACCTGGATGGATGAAAAGAAATGAGCAGAAGTAGGTATTTTTTTCTATATCCTATATATGGGAAGGGGGGGAGAGGAAAGGAGGACTAAAACTATTTGCAGATGTGAGTTGAATCTGGCAGACACTTCAAGACAAAAGGAAAAAGGAAGTGTTTGAAACATTTTTGGGTTTGAAATTGTTGGAGCTTTTTGTGCTTTGGTGGTTTGTTCGGGTTTTTTTTTAGCACTTAAAAATTTAAGGACAAGCACTCCACAGCAAAGACAGGTTTACCTAACAGAATTAAAAAAAAATCTTAAAAGATTTGAGGGATTAAAGATTGAAGGGAAAGGGAGATATAGAAATCTTAAAAAGGTGGGAACTTCTAGAAGATCTCAGATTTTACCTTAGGTACTTTTTGGTCGGGATAGTCACTGGGTATTTGTCTTTTGATTTGGAATTGGTTAGTTTTGTCGCTTCCAGTATTTTCATTCTGAGAAGACTTGAATCATCTCTTTCTTCGGAAAAGCTACAATTTGTTTTGTAATACATCATAACAGTTAATGTCACATAGAAAGAAACATTATCTAAATAATTGTATTTGGAGCAGTGCTGTCAAACTTACAGTACTGCAACATAGTTCCTTACTACCTTGTAAGAGTTACTTCACTTTAATTTAAAGCCCCAGGATTTAAAATTGGATCATTTATTTGAATCTAACTAACCTAGAGGAAAAAAAAAAATTGATGAACACTGACAAGCCCTGAGCCTTGATAGGATTTGTTTTCAAAAGATGTGTTACTTCCACTGTAATTTTTATTTCTAGTGTTAGTATTTGCTGTATTGGAGGAAAGACAAACAGAAAGAAAGAAAGGAATGTCTTTAAATTTGGCTACATTTTAGTGTGTTGAGAGTCTGTTTTTCATGGAAAATTCATTGACACTGTGAGGAAAATTCTGGGTTTTCAACTCTTTGAAAAAAGTCATTATGAAAGAAGTACCTGATCCTGCTACAATACTGCATTCCCTTACAGGCCACATGAGATAAAAGGCTTTTAGAATCCTTGTTGAAGGAGTAACCAGCTTTTGAAAACATATTTCTCATTCTCAACAGTGAATTACATGCTTTTAAAATAATGATATTAAATCTCCTATTACTGAAAGAAGCCCTCTGTTATTTCAGAATAACTACCTGCCTGTGACATGATAAAGATGCTCACATTGTGATTTTCATTTTCATAGAGTCAAAAAGGACTAGTATGACAATGTGGCCTGACCTTATAGGATGGGCTGTATATCAGGCCACTACACTAATATCTACTAGGTGGCACTAATACTGCATAAAGGGATACAGCATAACATATTCAGGACCATGTAAAGGTAGTTAAAAATTTAATTATGGGATTTACACCTCTCATTTTGAATGTTTTCAGAAGAGTCCAGTTCAGAATATCTGCCTTTGAAAGTCTCTTGTGCATTGGAACTCACCACCAGGCAGGAGGATAAGAGATACTTAGCTCCCCTCCTACATAGGTACTAAATACAGAATATTAAATAAATGTACATAGTAGAGCAAACAAACATCTAAACTGAGATTGCTGAAAACCTCAGCACTGCCCACCAGGTATGAGTATGTTTGTGAAAGCTGGGATGCCTCTGACTTGCAGGATTTGCCTTGGTGTCCATCAGTTTGACAGAAATCAGTGTTTGTCCTGGTGGATAATCCCCTCACAGACCCTGGCTGCCAGAAGGGGTTGCTGGCCAGCTGATCCGGTGAGAGCATAGATAGGTAGGATTTGGACCTTGAGAATTACCTCCAGTGAGGAATGTCATCCTATGCTGCTGCTCTGCCTTCCCCCAAGATCTCCTTCTGCAAGCCAGCCCCTCCTTGGCAAGGGACCTGCACTCTCCCTCTGCTCTCCGTGTGACCGAGCCACTAAACTCTCTCCTCCCTCGTTACAGATGTCTCTTTCACAGTCAGCGTGTCTGTGAACAGACCACTTTTCTTCTGAAAGGAAGTTAAAATACACTCACCCGTGCCTACGTTCCCATCCTCACCCCAGTGGCTCAGCAGGAGGAACTGTCAGAATTACAGATGTTCTGGGGCAGTGGTTTTCTTTGCTTTTTTATGCCAGCAGGAATTTTCAGTGAGGTCCCAGCAGTGAATGCAGCAGTGCTCCCAAGTGCCCTGTTTGCTTGGTTTTTTCATTGCATGTTACAGAAGGGGAGTTTTGTGTCCGGCGAACAGGTAGCTCATCCATCGCCGATGTCTGAAGTGATTCAGGCTGATGCTTACACGGACCTCAACTGTTCATCAGGAGACCTGAAGACTGCTTAGGTTACTGGGGAAGAGAGCTTTTGTTTTTAGTGTAGTCTTTAATGCACAAAGACAGTGCCTCTGCTTGGGTGTTTGTAACAGCCAGGGACATTCCACAGGCAGGGGTTGGTGGTGGTGGTGGTTGTTGTGGGGTTTTTTAAGGAGATGAAAATCTTCACCTTTGCTTGGATGGAGTTTTAGTCAGAGGTGATGCAAGGTAAAGTATGACAGGAGGGAATAAAGATAGACCTCTGCTTGATGTCTGAGTGCCCTGACATGACACTTGAGCTCTTCAGCATTTGGAAATCTGCAGCTCTGGTGTCTGGCTGCTAGGCCACAGCCCAGGAGCTAAGCCTGGCCCTACTGAGAGCTCCACCTGGGGTTTACAGCCAAAGGAGGATTAAGGCACTGAATGTTTTCTAACCACAGCTAGTGGCTCCTCTCCCCTCAAAGTGTAGCTAACAGCAGTAACTTAAATGATTCAGATCTCTGTGGTTCCACTCCTACAGACCCTTCCCAACTTGTACACCTAAGAATACCCAACCACCCAGTTAAAACAGATGCCCCTGAGGTGAGAAGGTAGCGTCCAGAGGAACCTGGAGGGGTCTGCTCGGTGAATACCAAAGTCCTCTTGGGAGGAAGAGAAACTAAGACTGGAAGGGCTCTGCCCCTGATTATTGAGTAGCCAACTTGTTTACCAATTCCCTGGACATGAGAGTGACGCTTGTGCCCATTTAGTTAGAGAATGGCACACCGTCAGGAACTACTTTAGCACCCAGGCCCTTGTACAGTGAGGTGCTCCAACACTCTGCCAGTGTTTACGCCTGGTTGGCAGCTCAGGCCAGGCTGTAGTCAGGAGGAGACTTGCCCACTTCCTCCATCAAGCTGAGGTTCTGCATCTCACAAAGCATTAACACTGGGTAACTGTGGTGTGGAAAGACACCCACAACAGCATTTGCCAGGAGATTTCTTCAGGAGTTCAGTGTTTGGGGTCTTTTTTTGTCTTTTTAAGCTTCTGCCTGTACTCTTATGCTGGGGATCTCTGCAGCACAGAGATTTCCTCTTGTTGTCACTAACCAGGTGCTGAGAGGGAATTTAAGCCCCAAGGCTTTCCATTGCCATAGTTCCTTTTTCCTTGCACTGGCTGCAGACACAACTGTACCAGCTGGTGTTGGTGCATTTATTCTGAGGGTTGGGGGGGTGGGGTGGAGTACCATATTATTGGTTTTAATTCTCTAATGAACTGCAGCTTCAAAAATGCTTTTTTTAACTCAGCCTAACCAACCAAGGGGGAAAAAAAAACCAAACCCTTTAGTCTTCTAATGCAAAACCAGCCAAAGTAGAAAGTTTATTTTTATTTCTGAGGTCATGTACATCTCTTAAATTCAATTTTTAGAACTCCAGTGGCTTAATTCGAGGTAGCTCCCCCAGCTCCAATAGTTTGATGTCTCACTCAATTCAGTCCTTAAGTGCTACCAAGGAAGCACAAACAATAGCTATGCAAGAGCTTCAAAACTGCGCATCAGCCTTCCCACCAGAGGTTTCCTACCAGCACCCAGGCAACAGCTTCCTGTTTTGCTACAGTTGCCCACACCAAACACAAGGTGTACACTGCACAGAAAACACTCTCTGGGCACAAACCCGCCACCTTCTTTCCTGGAAGGAAGAAGGGGCAGGATCTGAGACGTGCCCCAGAACAAGAGCTCAGTTATTTACTGCTAAACAGGAGCCATATTGAAAGCTCATGGAGATCCTATTTTTCAGAAATCAGATGCCTCTTCTTCTTGCTACCTGTAAGACTTCTGAGCTTAGAAAGAGGTGAGGACAGCAGGCCCACAGGAAGTGCAGGCTTTGAAACAGCACTTGTTTACTCTGCCTTACTGCAATCTTAACCAGTTCTGTATTTCTCTTCTAAGAACTTGCCTACAGGCTGAAGTGACACAAATGAGAAAACACAGGCACTGCCACACAGACTACTCATCTCTTCCTTTTATCTTTCAGGTCTGCTCTGCACCTGGCTGAAACTTGTCTGAGGCTCACCCAAAGACACCTCTACAGAAAACAGGCACACTTGCTAGCTAATTTCAGCTGGTTTCTATTTGGTTTTAACTACAGAATCACAAATATTTTGAAGCCTTACCAGCCTATCAAACTTTCTAGGACAACAGCTGAGACTTTTCAGAAAAGACCAGGCTTGCAAGCCAGTTTTAACAGCTATTATGTGGTGTAGACTTTAATAATTTGTACAATTTTTATAAAATATTTTTATCTATTTTCATTATTTAACATACATGTCTATATTATTCACAGACTGAAATATCAATAAACCTAACAGGACTCTTAGGTTCTCACTTTGTCCTTCTGAATTCAAGGGAAAGCATGTGCAGGGGGAGGAGGGAGAAGGGGGCTGTTTGCAAGTTCTGCACAAGCACACTGCCTTCCTGTTTACAAACTCAGTACCAGAATCTACCTGGGAACTTTATTTTACAGGGTATTTGTCACTTTTGTATAAAAAGTGAGAGTCAGCAACTACTTATTCATCAGAAAAGCGTAAGAATGATTGAGAAATATTCCACATAATTTGGAAGAATTGCTGTGGGTCAGGCTTCCCTTTAAAATGTTGCCTTAAAGGATAAAGCCTTTAAGAGAAAGGAGCCCTTGGTTTGTAGAGATGAGCCATTAAGCAAGTGCCTGGCTCTCAACACTGAAGTGGTGAAGCTGGACTTTTCCACTTTTCAGCAGTCTGAGGGATGGGCACCAGCTGAACTAGGCTTCAAATTATTGAACTCAAAACACCTGGAGGCTTTTTTTCTGGTCAGCTGTGCACTTGCGTTATCCAAGGTTACTCTCCAAATACCACACTCTTTCAGAAAGAATTTATCTGCATCTTTTGCTATCTACTGTAGGATAAGCTATGCACACAAGAAAAAAGTTTCTACATCTATTACCTTCAGTGTAGTTGCAGAATTGAACTAGGAAAGGGGGAAAAACGGCAAAGAACAGTTCCCCAGTGATGAAGCTACTTCACCCAGCGTGAACACATAAAATAAAAATAAGAGTAACAACACATGCAATAAGTTACCATTGACTGTGGAACACAATCTTTCCTTCCCTTGTACTTTAAGAATTATTAGTGGTACAGCCCTAACATCAAAGTGATTTTTCCTCCTTATTTCAATTTCCTGCCATATTTAAATGCCAAACACATCTGATCTCCTCCTTGAACTGCTTCACAGATATGACACCAAGCATGCCGAGAATGGCCTCCGGTCTCTGGGGACAAGAAAGCCTGATGAGAAAAGTCCTCTCTAGTCAAACTTGGTGTTTCCCATAGTAATCAGGCTGACAGCTTTATAAGTGTCACTGCTTTATAGGTGGTTACACAGTTAAGAATATACATGTATAAATGTAGGAAAATGCAAACTTTAAAAAGTTATTTTTTATTATTCTGCAGCATAAATCTGTGTTTAAATAGGAGACAGTGCCTACGTGCTCAAAGGAACTCGGGCACCTAGTCCCAACACTTCGGCTTCACTGAGACCCTGGAGCTGCCATGCCCTGGCCCAAGGCACAGCGGGACCCTCAACCTTTCTGGACCTGCCTCACCTACTGGGTGGCTTTTGGTGGCCACGTGCGGGGCACCACTGCCAGCCACCCACATGCATGTACGGGTCTGATTTCAACAAAGGGTCCTGGGCTGCCAGTATATATAGCTGGAAGTAGGTTTTTCATACTCATCCCAGGGGTAGGTGCAACCCATTATGTTGCCGGGAGTCTAGAAGGAATCAATTTCCCTGCAGCAGCTACTCTACTTCAATTAGTCATTAACAGAGACGGCACTAGGCCTACCTGTCTCATGCCCCGCCCCCCTCCCTCCCCTGCTTCTACTTAAACACAAAACACTTAGTTTTACGAAGTTTACAAGTGTCTGATGACGATCAGACAATCAAATCCAGGAAACCCCAGGTCAGCAGACTGAGTGTGATTCCAGAACACAGGACACAATCTGACCATACAGTCCTGCCCCTGCTGCAGCTGCATCCTGGTCACTCACATTCTGATATCACTGAACTACTGCTGTCTGTCTCTCCGATGCTCAATCTTATTACCAAGTGGGGAAGAAAAAAAGGAGGAAAAAAAAAAAAAAAGGAAAAAACCTGAGACCTGGATGAAGCACCTCTATTCCTGAGAAGCGTTCATGTCAAAGAACAGCTAAAACCCAGATGACCCACTGCTTTAGGGACACTCAGCCCTCCAGATCAGCTGGTTCCAATGGCCCTGGACCAGCTCACAGGCTTCAAAGAGTCCCACGCTGTGGTGCCCTGTAAATCCCACCTTCAATTTTTTCCCCCTCTCCTTACCCAAACACATCACCTAGCTGTGGGATATGAGACCAAGAATTTCATTAGCTGAAAAATCACTTAATCATGGGTGTTCTGATAGGAACATAGCCCTGTGGAATCATTACTTCAAAAGAGTAACCCAAATTTACTTTTATAAGGACATACACCTCGTAGAGTTAACATGAACCACCTGTATGGAAACAGCCTCAGTCCAAAGCACAAATACATCTTGCTTAATCATAAATTTTTTTTTTCTTTGACAATACTGTAACTTAATAATTTACAAGCTGAAACTGTTCACCCAGTATTTGAATTATGTCACAGCAAGTTACAGTTATCACTAGGACTTCACAGCAAATAAAACTTGTAACTAAACATGCACAGATCATTATATATACAGTGATAAAAAAATAACGATGTACATTTTCTTGTAAGAAGAAATTAAGTAAATTCTTTGTGCATTTCAGGATTGAAACATCTAACCTATATAAAATTACTTTAAAATATGAAGTAAATATTTAACCCAAAACTTGAGAAATCTCTTGTAATCTGCAATATAGCCTTCTCATTTCTTTTTTTTTTTTTTTTTTCTCTGACACGGAACAACTTAGGAATTTTATCCTCTAAGATATTTAATAGTAATGTGCAGATATAAAAAAATACGTCCTTTGTGGCAAGCTTGAACATATATATATATATTTACAAACCTCCAGAACAAATTAGCATTAAAAAACACAGAAGTAGTAGATTGACATAGTGCTTTATTTAAGCTGTCTGTACGAAGGAAAATAATGTGCATCCCTATCATATACGTGTAAAAATACTAAGGATGTACAGTGTACAAAAACAGTTTCTTGTAGTTATTTCACATCCTTGTGGGTCATATACTTAAGGAAATAAACAGTTTAAGTATGACCAACAGTAATACGGTTTCTTGGGTTCATAGTCGTGTCTGCTTAATATCCTTAACCATATGACTAGATCTTGCATGGATCTAATGAAAGAACTAGCAAGGTCAAGAAATGTCACAAACTCTAAAGCTACAGGGAGGTAATTCAATTACCAATTTAGAGGTTTTTATTTAAATAAATACTTTACATTTCATGCTTGCCTGTAATGCACTACCAGGAGCAAGATAAGGAAATTCTACTGTAGACAGTACAAACAGTAGCAGCAAAGTGTGTACATTGAGGTGTAATATATAGACCCTGCAGTTAGTAAGGAAAGACCTTACTTTTGTACTCTAGGAGAAGCACATGGCCCCTGCAAGAACAGTCAGCTTTAAGAAGCCGCAAGTAAAGATGGGAAAAAAAATGTAAAACAATACTGGAATAAATGTTCTTTAAGCAACAGGAATGTACTGGAAGATGGATTAGTGTGGAAAGCGAAGCTGTGTGCAAAACTGCCAAAATCCAAACAGAAATGACCTATTTCCTCTGAGATGGCTGCAGTACAAGAGGGCATACTGTATGTCATGGAAGTCAGTACAAGCTGGAGTCAAAGTCTGAAATGTACTGTGCTCGAAAGGCTCGCCAAGACAACCAGCCACCACCTCCTGTCCAAATCCAACCACAACTGCAGACAGCAAAAGAAGAGCTTCAAAAGTTTCTCTCAGCACTGCTTGTCCATTTGTCTGTCATCTGTTTCTAACACTGGTAAGAGAGAATCCCCCAAGCCCAGGCAGCACAAAGTGTCTGCTGACTCTCTCTAGCATAAACTTCATCACTGATGTTTCAGAAGGCAGACAAATACAATGCAAAGGGATGTCTTAAAAGGTTTTCAAATAATTCACTGACAGACACTTACTGCAAACCACGCACTAAGTAGCTACGCGATGGTGAGCTAAACCACAGGGCGTCCTCTGCCCGCAAGGAGCGGCACGGCTGGTCGGTCATTAGCTAGAGGTGCCCTGTGTCAAGAGACTTATTGCTATTACAAGCTGAAAACACAGGGAAGGAAACAAAGGCATGTAACACAGATATTGAATCACCATAGTTTCAGTCTGTAAGAACAAGACCTTTGCAGAGAACTAATTAATGCCCGTCTGTTAAGTACTTGATTATTTCAGTCACTCGCTCACTGTGTCAGTGTAGACACCTCTACACCACCGGTGCAGAACAGACCTGCAACGCATTTGCTGCTCTCCTCTCTCTCCACACAGGGACAACAACATCTACACGTCTTTAGTGTTACAAGGTGACATAATGACATCGTATGCAGTTACAATATACATCATGATATATTTCTGTTTGATTATCCATCCATTACTAAAGATAAAACACAAAACATGAAAAAATTGTCTAAATTACTCTGCGTTTTTAGCTGCCTTGCTAAAATGCCCATCAACCCCTTGACCATCCCAGCACATGCACTGCCAGCAGTGGGCTTCATGCTTGGGCACTCAGCTTTCCACATCAAGAGGCTAAGGCATCTGCGTAGAACATCTCTCAGACCCATCTACTCACTCACACAACGCAACCAGAAATACTCAGCAATATCACAGTCTTTGTGGGAGCTAACAAGAGCTGAACGCAGAGATACTTCAAATGATAATCCCACGGAGTTGGGGTTGTCCAATGTTGTTAGCAAGGGTGCACGCGCTCTGTTTGCTGCACTGCGTAACGTCCCAACTCCTAGCACCAAAGGGTTTATTATTAAGATTATCATTGCTGAAGATCAACGCTAAAGTTTATGCACATGTTCTGTTAGACACAGATCTTCGGAAATGGAAAGACGTTTCCCTATCAGTGGAGCATTTGTCACGATGTTTTAAATTCAGTCAATCAGGTACCACTGTTACATGTAACTTGCTGGATTTCAGGACTCTTTTGGTTGAGGGCAAATCTTCCTTGAGAAAGGCTGATCCCAGAAATTTACTATTTTAATTATTAAAATAAAGTGCTTTTCTTGTAATCACTGTGGTCTCATTGTTCAAATGCAATTCCTTCATATAGAACAGACATTTTCTCTTGTGCTGTTAGGCTCTTACATTACGTTTAT